TACACGGCTAGCGGCAAAATTTACACCGACAGAAAATTGACGAATGTGTGCCAACGAGAGGTCACAGTGCAGACAAAAAATGAGCTCATGAAGTGTTTTTTTTATTAGGAAGGAGTACTCAAGTGGGGTTCTAACACCGAGCATAGTGCAGCACAATACTGTAATATTTCAAATACGCCAGGATGCTGGCTTATGACTGCAAACCCTCTTGGCTATCTGCGAAAACCGCACCCGGCAAAAACAATAACTTAAGTAGCATGCGCTTTTTATTGATTTTTGATGTCCCTATGTAGGTTGCAGAAAACATGGTCATAAATATCCGTTTTTTACTCAATTAAAAGCAAACCACATCTTTTTTAAGTTTATACTCGAAGAAAGACCATTTTCGGTTTTTGAAAAAACGTTTTCAATTATGAGAGCTTTTAAGATCGTAAGATGTTCATCCCAGTTGCATCGTGTACGTTCGTTTATTAATGCCTCTCATCAATTATACAAGCTGGTCTACATCTATCACAGATCCTTGTGAATACTATATAGTATATTCTCAGTTACATAGAGGAAAGCATGCTGTTCCTTACATGGAACGCATAGAGCTTGTAGAATAAAAACCCTAAACGCAAATGCAACGGCAGATGCGGCCCAATATTATTTGGGAATTTAAAAGACAAAGCATTTGAAACCCAAAATTGCCCTTCCTTTGAGCATGAAATTTGAACAAAACGTGATTTCGTACCAAATGAGTGCAAAGGATATTTGTGAGTATGTTTTCTACAAAATATATGCCAATTTATAAACGAAGAAACCATCAAAAATACCAAAGAATACTACTTAAGTGGACAGTTTTTCTGAGTAGGCGTTAAAAAAACGTCTAAATTCAACAGCAGACATCCTGGTGTATCTGAAACATTGTAGGAGTTATGGCGCACAATGATAGACATTACAACTCCACTCAAGCAATCTATTCTGATCGGAAATTTGTTTCAGAATTTCGGTTGATATTTAATCAAATCGGTCATCGACTCTTGGGGGAATGTAGGGAAGGTAAGGACACTCAGGCAGAAAACTAGATTAGGAGGTATGAAAACTCTCCGCCACTAATTTTTCTGTGAATAAATTCTGGCCAGAATCAAATAATGGACGGTAGACACTACCAATTGCACAAAAAGATATGCCAAAACTGTCCTTACCTCGGTAGGTATCGGCTTCCTGTTCCACCGAGTCCTTGACCATTCGCCAAAACCGTTCTGAAACCGCCTTGCTCATATTCTCTGTGGTCATCTGTTCCAGACGAAGAGCTCCTTCACGAAAGAGGCGAGACTTCCTGAAGAAGTTTGCTTCATACTCCTTGATGCTCTCGATGCTTTCATCCTTTGACCCTAAAGCGGAAGTAAGAGCACAGAGGTAAGTTGATTCGTCTGAAGGGGGGAGGGGGGTGACTGGAACAGCAACAACTTTCATTTTGGTCTTCGTTGATACGACGCGATGGAAGTTGTGAGGGGAGAGTCATTTCACTTTACTTTTGAATCAACTGACCGGAGAGCACCGGTTTTTAAGTTAGACAAGTGGTTTGTTGTTTGGGCAAAACTGACTTGTGGGGTTCCTCTAGATATCTATCCCCCCCC